TTTTTTCCAATTACATGTAAAAACAATTTTTATCATTTGAAAAAAATTCAATTACAAATTCTCTTCCTCCGTCTTTTCCTTCTCCCCTTCCTGAGACAGTAAGCAATTTGATATAGGTTATACATGTGCAATCACACAAAATATATTTCCATATTAGTCATGTTGTGAAAGAAAACACAGACAAAAAAAAAGGAAAATAAAGTAAAGAAAAATTATGCTTTGATCTGCATTCAGACTCCATAGTTCTTTCTCTGGCTGTGGTTAGCATTTGCCATCACGAGTCTTTTGGAATTGTCTTGGATCATTGCATTGCTGAGAAGAACTAACTAAGTCATTCACAGATGTTCATCTCACAATATTGCTGTTACAATGTACAATGTTCTCCTGGTTCTGTTCACTTCACTTTGCATCAGTTCATGTAAATCTTTCCAGGTTTTTCTGAAACCATCTTGCTCATCCTTCTTATAGCACAATAGTATTCTGTCATGTCATATACCACAACTTGTTCAGCCATTCACCAATTGGTAGACATCATATACCACAACTTGTTCAGCCATTCACCAATTGGTAGACATCTCCATTTCCAATTCTTTGCCACCACAAAAAGAGCTAACAAGACTATTTTTAAAATGTTATTGATAGCTTTTGTTTTTGTATCACCATCATTTCCAATTATATCTCTCCCTACTCCCATACCCAGAGAACCAACCCCTTTATCAAAGAAAAAACAGGAAGAAAAAAAGTAGCTCAGCAAAAGTAATCAATGCAGCACCTGAGTTTGCAGAGTTCCATACCTACAGTCCTTCACCTCTAATGAAACCTAAGATTGCCTTACCTTTTTGGCTTTCCTATTCCACTGCTGACTCATATATTGAGCTTGCAGTCCACTAGAAGTCTCAGGTGCCTTTCACACAGGTGCTGGTCTAGCCCTGTCTCCTCCTTCCTGTATCAGTGCAGTAGATTTTTGGAACCCAAGTGTAAGGGTTTACATTGATTCCTTTTGATGTTAGCTCTAAGCCCATTGTCTAACCTATTGTCATGGCTAGGTCTACCAGCTCAGATCAAGAAACACATATGTGAACTTTCAAAAACTATTCATTTTTTATCACTGCTTTCAGAAGAAAAAGTGATGGGACTGAAGCCATGAAATTAGTTAACTTATTTCAATAGAGGTAGAAGAATATATTGGAAATCAATAATAATAAGAAATGGGCTGGCCTAAAAGCTCAATCACTTACCAAAACATGTTTCTCTGGTACTGGAAAATAATTTAGAACTAATCTCTTAAATATACTAACCTGCATACCCTTTGACCCAATGATATCATTACTAGGCCTATACACCAAAGAGATCAAAGAGAGAGGAAGAAGGTACATATGAACAAAAATACTCATAGCAACTTTTTGTTGTAGTGAACAACTGAAAACTAAGGGGGGGGCCCAACCATTGGGGAACGGCCTAACAAACTGTGTTATGTGAATATTAAAGAAGATTATTGTAACTTGGGAAGACTTGTATGAAATGATGCAGAGTAAAGTAGGTGGAACTGGGAGAACAGTTTATACGATAACAGCAACATTACAAAGCAAAATAATGTTGAAAGACTTAAGAACTCCAGTCATTTCAAGGAGCACCATGCGTGCTAGAGGGCTGGTGCTAGAGCACTAGAGGGCTGGTGAAAGTGCACGTATGCTGCTTCCAGCGGTAATGGCCTCAAGACGCAGAATAAGACAGATGTTCTTGAACTTGGCAAATGGGTAGATTTGTTTTGCTTGATTATGTTTTTTTGCTATAAAAGATCATTTTTAATTGGGGGCTGGGACTTGTGGTCCCCTTTTTTAATGGGGGCTAGTTGCAGCTCCCTCCTGCCATTGGTGACTTCCTCCTGGAACCTCCATTTTGAGGAAAGGCCTGGACCCACCACGTTTCACTATCTGAACTTTACCACCACGCCTCCACTAGGGTACTGTCTTCTTTTTACTTCCTCTTATGTGTTGTTCCCCCTCTCCCCCACATTAGTATGTAAGCTCCTTGAGGCCAGAGACTATCTTTTTACTTGCATTTGTATCCCCAGCACTTAGCACAGTGCCTGGCACATGGTAAGCCCTTAATAAATGTTTGCTGACTTGATTGGACTAAGTACTGGAGATGTAAAGATAAAAGTCCAACATTGAGATTACATTCCATTGGGATGGGTCTGAGGCTCAATGTGCTGGTGCATGGAAAGGCCTGAATCAATCTCAGATTTGGGCAAGGTCTTTTATGTTTTTTTTTTCCCCATGAAGACATTCGCCAGTTTATCCCCTACATTTCTTCTTGGGGGTCAGAGTGAGGGTTGTGAGGAGAGGTAGAAAAAATTGTAGGAAATACATATATATGTGTGTATACAGATATTTATATTTATATATATATATATATATATATATACACACACACATACATATACATACACATACATATGTATGTGTGTGTGTGTGTGTATGTGTGTGTGTGTGTGTGTGTACACACGTCCTTGATAGACCTTGTGGGGTGAAGCAATGACTAGAGATTTCCAGAAATCATAGGATCATAGAGCCAGAATTGGGAAGAACCTTAGAATTCATCTAACCCAGCCTCTTCATTTTACAGATGAGGAAACTGAGGCCCAGGGAGACTAAGTAACTTGCCCAAGGACATGCAGGTAGAGATATCAGAGGTGGAATTTAAACCTGGGTCCTCGGATTGATTCTGGAGCCAGGGTTTTTCCCATGAGACCCAGGCTGCTTCCCCTACTGTTGTGGTCTCCCTGTTCAATTACCTGTTCAACAGTGCCAAAGTTTCTGAATTTAAGGTTTGCCACAGATGGAAGATGATTTCTCCTCCCTCAGCCGAGCAAAGATTAAGGGGTTAGAATTTTCTGATATTTGAGGCTGGTGGTTCCAGTTTTTGGAATCCTGCTGTCGTAAGTCAAGATCATGGATCCACCCCCTCACCTTGGTAGAAAAATACTGTTTGGCATCCCCAGCTGTTTGCAGTCACCGTACCACCTACGTGTGGCCTCTGGATGCAGCTGTGATTGACATATGAAATGTTTCCCCCAGACACGGGGGAGGCCAGAGTTTGTTGAGGACAGAATGGATATAAACAGGTTCAAGGAGGGGATGTATTTTTTTTAACAGATGGAGAGTTCTTTTCCCCTTGCTTTGAAAGAAAGGTGTATAAATCAGGACTGAACTGTCACATGTCCATGGTCCCTGGTGAGGACCCATTGCTGCTGACAAAGCTGGGGCACCAATGAGCCCCAAACCCAGGTCTGTCCCCTGGAGGACCAGGATTCCCCCAGGGGGTTGAAATGGCTTTCAGCAAATCCACATTTTCTCCATTATAACTAATGAGGGGAGGGGTGAACAGCTATTTCTCAGGCAATAGCCAGCTGCCTTTGGGGAGGGGGGATCAGTAGCTAAATAGACACAAAGAGGACCTCTTCTTTTGCCTGCTTTCATAGCATGCTGGGGAGGGGAGAGCTAGGTGGGCAAAGAGGAAAGCAATCATCAAGGCCTAGGAGTGTGAGGGCTCGGTGAGGCCCGACCCACGCTGCACCACGCACTATGGTGGAAGGAGAGCTGTATATTGGCTCTGACTGTTGTTTTAGCAAAGAGATGGTTGCTCAGTTACATCACCTTTCCAAATCTGTTTCCTCATCTGAACGAGTAGACCAAAACGTGCAGTCCCTGCCTCACAGGGTAGTGGAGAAAGGGCTCTGAAAACCCTCTGCATAAATGGGAGTTGTGATTCCTGGTCAGGAAGGCCCTCTGAGGGGAAAGGGAAAATGTCTTGCAATCCAGGGAGCCAGTGGGTATAGACAGGAAAAGGGTAAGAAAGCCAAAGGGGCAGCTGCCAGAACCAAGCCTGCTGGGAAAGGAAGGGAGAAGGGCCAGCCAAGAGCTGGTGGTTAGGAGTGATGGCACACCCAGCTTCCACACTTAGTGGGCGACTCCATTTCCAGGCAGGTTAAAAGTGGGGGGCCCCTTTGTATTCAAGCACCCCCCTGCAGAGAGAAGCTGCACAACCTGATGGAGAAAGACTAGACAGGGGGAGTTCTTTCTCCAGCTCTAGCCCCAGTTCTACATACATTCCATCAGGGTCAAGATGGGTGCGGGCAAACAAGTGTAGCCCAAATGCCAAGAACTTGCACAGGGGCCCCTGACAAGGAAGGAGGATGGAGAAAAGGGCCTCGCCAACGGGTCAACAGAGTGAGGGCGTCTGGGGTCAGTTTACGGGCTCACTAGCTGAGTGCTGTAGGGAGTGTAGGTAGGTCAGGAAAGGGGCCTCGACAAGCTGGCTCACTTCCAGGTATGGGGACGTGGTGGGGGAAGCAGAGGGAATCCTCGACTTACAGAAGGAACAGCCAAGACGAAAACTCCCTTGCCACCAGGGCAGATCTGCTATTGTCTGTGACCAGTTTTACAGATGTGCTGGAACACTAAGAGGTCACACGGCTAGTTGGTGAATGAGGCAGGATCTGTACTCGAGTTTTCCTGATGCTAAGACCAACCCTCTAATCATGGCTTCATGTTACTTCCAAATATTACACAACAAAGAGGAAAATGATGAAGCCAGGAATCCTGGGTCCAGGGCTTGGATCTAAAATGAGTCATGTCACATATCTGAGCCTCAACTTTCTTATCTGTAAAATAGGGATCCCAAGATTAAGTGCCATAAAGGACCTTAGAAATCACTTGTCTGACCTTACATTTTCCAGATGAAGAAACGGGGCCCAGAGAAAAGAAATGACTTGCTTAAGGTCAGGAGGGGAATAGCAGCAGAACAGTGGTTCCAGCCCAGCCTCTTACTCTGGGCCTGGTGCTCCTTCCACCGCCCCAAGGCACCAGCACTAGCCCTCACAGCACTGTTAGGAGAAAAGGGCTTGGTCAATCTGCGTGTGCTGTAAAGACAAGGCTTATCATGGATAATCACAATCTCGTCACTGGCAAAACCTCCATGAAGGGATGGACCACAAGTAGAAAAATTAGAATTTATTTTTACACAATAAAAATGACACAAAAACAACACTTGCAGGACCAGAACAGACCCCGAGTAGGAGGGCTCCTGACCCAAGGAGTCACGAAATCCATCCGCAATCTTCTCCCCTTAATTTCCTGAAGGTCTCCAGGTCTCCACAGGCAGACCGCAGTAAAGTGCTCACTCACGAGGAGGCCCACGAGGCCGCCACGCTTTGGGCCGTCCTTCACCAGACAGGACAAGGCCCTTTCCAACCAGGCGTCTCAGACGTTTCCTTCTCGCTTGTGCCGGTGCGACTCAGCTGGGAGTCCAGGAGGAGAAAGAAGAGAGCCCCTCACACGTACTCGCCACAGTCTGAGATGATCACTTTCTGTTTCGGCTTCCCATCTTTGCTGCCTTGAGCCTTTCGATGCAACGAGAAACAAAGAGCGAAGACGACGATCACCGACCCAGGGCACCTACTGGCACCCCTCCACCCGGATGTGCTGGACCCCAGGCTCGGCCTCAGGGGAAGACACGGAGAACACGGGCCAAGCACATCACCCACCAATATGAGAAGTCTTGTTCTCGAGGACTAAAAACACTCCTACCTGCTCCTGACTAACAGTCCCATCTACTCGGGAGCTCTTTTACATCAACTTTCTGAAACGATCCAGGTTGATGCTGTATCATTTTCTTACTGATCCTAATTACAGTTAATTGATTTGTCCTGTAACTGCTTTAGTCATGGGTCTCCATCTCTGAACTTAGCTCAGAATTCAGCTGGCCTGTAATGCCCTAAGGTTAGAAACCCAGTTCTCTGGCTAATCACTGTTCTATTCTTGCCTCAAGGAATCTAGCTAACTTTTGGGGAGCGGTTTGCCATAATTATCTTTACACCACCAAGTTATCCTTCAAGGATGCCAAAAAGTCTGGGCCCCTGTCTTGCAGGTGGACTCAAACAAGGAACACTTCGCGGTCATGGGGGAAAGAAGGGGTCATTGCTCGCCCTTCATTACCAGACTTCCAATCAATCATACTGTTCCCCACGCTTCAGTTATGGAGCCAACCCCAAATCACCTGCCCCATTCTGTTCTTTGTCCTGTCTTCCCCAAAACCTGGAAAAGAGAACTATCCCCCTCATTTGGGGTCTCAGCTTATCGGGGAAGCTGAGATCCTATTTATGGTAGAGTTGTGCTTTACCAATAAACTGACCATGCTTGAAACTTTGTGCCTCAGTTTACCTGAGTTTAACTGTTATACTTCCTCGTAACCACCCTGTGAGGTGTGTGAATACACAAGGATCATGCCCAATTTCAAAAAGAGAAAACCAAGGTTCAGAAATGCTATGGGAAGGTAGCCATGCCCCTCCTCCTCCTGCAGGGGACCACACCAGCACTTGTACAAAGAGAACAGGACAGATGACAGAGGCCTGGCAGGGCCTCTGTGGTGTTCTTATGGTCACCCAGATGAGCCCCAAATTTAATCACGTACCAGCTCCTAGGTTAATTTACAAGAAAGGCCCCCCTCTAAGGGCCTCTGGGCTCAACTGGACTCAGCCAACATTTCCCACCTGGCCACTGTGTTCTGGATCCTAAGCCAAGCACTGGGAGGAAGCCTCTTATAAAAGGTGGCCCTGCCCTCAGATAAGACTCACACAGAGCTATCACAATGTGAGCTGAGTCCTCCTTCCTCTTGCCTCCAGGAGCACTTTGTACTCTCTCACGCTCATCTACTCAGCCCCGCAGAGTTACTGCGTACTCGCTGTACAGAGCTGCTGACTTAGGGGTCCCATCTCTCCTCTGAGGACAAAGACCATCTCACTCTTTTCCTGCGAGTCCCCTCAGTGCAGAGCTTGGGGCTCTCCCTGCACATGGGGCTACGCACTCAACCGCTAGTTTAACAAACAAACGAATGGAAGGGAGGAGCATCTATTAAGCTCTTACTGTGTGCTCTCAAGGATCTCCCATTCTAACTGGGAGAAAACACGGAAGGGGCTCACAGTCATTTCACGGCTGACAGCAAGACCGGCTGGTACTGAGGTTCTGGCAGACTGCACGACGCCGAGGACATGGGCAGCAGTGGCAGGGCAGACGGCCCCTGACTGTGAGGATGCTGGGCCCGAGGGGAGAGAGGTCCAAGGCTTGGGATCCCTCCAGAAAAGGCGAGAATGCTGGGGTCAGCATTCTGTGCTAGACGCACACACGCACACACACACACGCGCTGCCATCAGTGAGGGCCAAACACTATTGGGAGTTAGAGGAAGAAGAAAGCTCTCCCTTCTGGCTGGCCAAAGAAGGCCCCCGAGGGAAGGATTCTGACAGGGGAGCACCCTCTGTGTGGACAGAACAGTGTGAATGAAAGCACGAATGAGCTCGGAGGCTGAGCACCGGCTGGGCCAGGGCAGAGAGTACACGCTGGGGAATAAGAGGAAGGCCTCGAATGTTGGGCTAAAGGGTTGGGAAGGTGTAGTGCAGGCAATGAGAAGCCACTGAAAGCTTTTTAGGAGGACCCCGACACAATCAGAACTATTCTTCTCAACAGGGGTTTTTAAAGAGGCGTCCATGGATAGATCTCAGGGGGAAACCTTACATCTTTATGTCACGAACCTCCACCTGAAATCTAGCATCTCCCTCACTTCTGAACACAGGTCCCAAACCACAGCAGTATGAGCAGAAATCACAAATATCACAAAACGCCTGTTGCAGCTATCTCAAAATACCCTTTACACACGTCATTACTTCAAAATGACTGTAGTTATGAGAACGGCCTGGAGGCTGCAGCCTTCTTATCTACAGAGGCTTCTTCTGTAGTCCTTTGTGTTTCACTTATGTATTTAAGAGCGTTATTCTGAAAAGGGGTTTGCAGGTTTCGCCAGTCTGCCGAAGGGCTCCAGGAAACAAAAAAAGGTTATAATGAACCCCTGCTTGAGAAGATGACCCTGGGGACAGTACACAAGCTGCATCGTGGGGAGAAAGAAGCCAGAGGTGAGGGCACGAGTCAGTAGGCTGCTGCAAAAACCCCAGGATGAGAGGATAAAGCCTGGAGGAGGGGGGTGGCAGTGGGAACAGAAAGGAGGAGCTGAACATAAGACAGTCTGGGAGGAAAGGATCACTAAGGCTGGACCAGAGAGTGAGGAAGAAGCGGGACGGCTGCGTCACTAACTAAGATAGGGGAGCCAGAAGGGACAACGAGCGAGCAGGCCAGGGGAGGAGAACAAGCCGAGGTAACCCCGTCCTCATACCTCAATCTTCTGTACAACGTCCATGCCTTCAGTGACTTCCCCAAAGACCACGTGCTTTCCATCGAGCCAGTCTGTCTTGTCACAAGTGATGAAGAACTGGGAGCCGTTGGTGTTTGGGCCAGAATTGGCCATGGAGAGCAGCCCTGGGGAAGAAAGAAAGAGCCCTCAGCGGCTTCCCGCCTCCAGGCGGATGGCCACGGGGCCAGCCCAGGCACACGCACCACGCAGGGGGCATCAGCCTCCTCATTTCCAGTCCCCACAAAGCTATTAAAATGTCCCACTTCAACAATATCCGTATCTTCTTTTTACAAAGTACGATTTGATAATCAACCCACGAAACAAATCCCAGAATTACTATATCCCTAGAGAGGCTGTTTTGTTTTGTTTTGGAGGAAGTGGGAAAGAAGGAAGAATGATGAAAGCACATCTCTGCTAGATTAAAAGCATTTTGTAATTGTAGATACTGTCTATGGCATCGTTCAGCTTGGCGCTCACAGCACGATGTGTGTGTATATTTAGATATACAAACATATGCTGATTTCCTCAGGGTGGCTGCTCCTTCCACTGAGGTAGGCCATCACCCTTCCTTGCCTTCCATGATGGCTTCATGAGCTGTGTGGTGACCAAGCCAGTGTAACGAGCCCCTCAGCCCCGAGCTGAGCCAGGGCTCTGACAACTTACAGTCTGCCTTAGGACCTGCTGGAGCTGGTGGTCCGCTGGTAAAACCTCTGAGAACAGGCCCTCTGGGCATGTGTACAGACATAAGCACACAATGTGCCTATTCCAATACTTGACAACATATGTGATTTCATGCAAAGATATCCATATAACCCAGTCTTAGATTTCCTGGAAAATGAGAGGTTGTGAAAGTCTCAAATTTGTTCCTACCTGGCCCTGTGTGTTTCAGAATAAAGTTCTCATCATCGAACTTCTTCCCGTAAATGGATTTGCCTCCACTGCCATTGTGGTTGGTGAAATCCCCGGCCTGGCACATGAACTGTGGGATGATGCGATGGAAACTGCTTCCTTTGAAGCCAAAGCCCTTCTCGTGGGTACACAGACAACGGAAATTCTCTGGTTTGGGAAAATCAAATGAGTTTAGTTTAAAATAATATGATTTTCTTTGAGAACCTTTATTGACAAGATTCTCTATTAATTAATGACTCTCTGCTCCGCTCCCTCCCTGGCCTCAGCATAGGCTGGGCTCGCATCCTTGACCCACATCTTAACCCCCACCACTGTCCCCAAATGTTAAGAGGTCACAAGGAAGAAGGGTCAGACTTGTTCTCCGTGGCCCAAGAGGGGGCACTGTGGGGAAAAGTTACAGAAAGGCAGGTTTGGGATCCACAGAAGGAAAATCTTCCTAACAATTAGAACCACCCAAAATGCCATGGGCTGCTTCAATAGGGAGTGAGTTTCCTGTCACTGAAGGCCTTCAAGTACATGCTGGCTAATCATTCACTGGGGATGCTGTGGAGGAGAGCTAGGATTCGGGCAGAACTAAGGCAGCTCGCTCCTACCTACTGTCATGGGGACAATATCGGAACGCAAAAGCATTTGGATTCGGCCGGCAGGTTTGTTTCCAATCTTGATATCCATGTACACTTGAGGATTGGCTCTCGCCTTTTTGACTGGAGGCTCTCCCTGGGGAAAAAAAAGGTAAAAATGTTTTTAATGTTAACATGAGTAGTTGTTTTCTATTGTGAAGAAACATAATTTCTTCAGACAACAAAGACACACACACACAGAGCATTTTCAAACTTCAGTGCATACCCACAATGAGACTTTCTGTTATCCCTGGGTTTAAAAAGTAAACTTTTGACCATTGTCTTACACCAGGGACCCCTCCCTGCCCATTCTGTCAAGAAAGACTCTTTACTGGGGAAGATCTATATAAACTCACGCAAAGTGAAGTGAGCAGAACCAGGAGAACACTGTTCACAGTAACTGCATTATCATAATGACAATGGATCGTGAAAGCCTTGGCTACTCTGATCAAGACAATGAACCAAGACAATTCCAAAGGACCCCTGATGAGAGATGCTATTACCTCCAGAGAGAAAACTGATAATCTCACTGCAGACTGAAGCACACTGTTGTTTACTTTCTTTATTTTTATAGTTTTATTTTGTGTGTTTTCTTTTACAATATGAAAATGTTTTGCATGACTTCACATGTACTGATATCAAACTGCTTGCCTTTTCAAAAAGGGGGGAGGAAAGGCAGGGAGGGAGGGAGAGAATCTGGAACTCGAAATTTAAAAGATTGCTAAAAAAATTTTTTACATGTAATTGGGAAATATTTAATAAAATAAATAAAAATAATTTTTAAAAAAGACATTTTTTTTTCACTTGTGTAAGGCTGCAGTCCTGATGATGAAGTGTTGAGAAGAGGCCATGAAGGCCTCCAACATGACCCACTCCTTTGGCGATCCTGTGAGAGCAGGACAGAGGCATGGAGGTGCTAACGTCTCTGTCTAACCCTAATGGGGCCTTCTGCTACACCTGCTGCTTCTGCCCAGCTGGTCTGGCCAAACACCTGGCTCACGCTCACTCTCTCCCCTTCACTTCTTTCCCCGACCCACCTGTAGGCAGAACAGTCATCTTCAGCCTGTCACACCACGCCCTCCAGAACTGTCTTGCTTCAAGAGGCTTTCCAGTCAATCTAACCCAGGTGACAGTTATGACCCTGATCCACTGTGGTATCTGCACACTCTGATGCTGACTAGCGCACAACCAGCCACAGAACTCTCCCATTAGGCTATAAGCTCCTCATGCAGAAAGTTGTCTACTCCTTAAAAAAGGCCCCAAAACATGAAGGGCTCAGCAGGGGGCAGGTGCTCAATAAATGCACACTCACATCACACACCCTCAGCGCTCACTGACGCCTCAATCTCAGAAGGCTAAAAACAGGACCCACGTCTTACAGACCACAGCCACAAAGCAAGACCCTTACACCCTCGAAAATTCAATGCTTCAGAAGTTCCTGACATTATTAATCATAAGTTGGCGTCCCATCTCCGAGGTCTTCCCACTCCCATCCTAGGCAGCTAGGCCTGGAGTCAGGAAGACGTGAGTTTTAATTCAGCCACAGATGCTTACCAGCCGTATGACCCTGAGTAAGTCACTTAACCTTTGCCCGCCTCAGTTTCCTCAAATGTTAAAAAAAAATGGGGATAATAGCAGCACCTGCTTCACAAGGTTATTGTATCAAATGGTGGAATATTTGCAAAAGGGCTCAGCACCGTGCCTGGTGCACAGTAGGCACTTAGGAAAGGCTTGCTTCCTTTCTTCCTCTCCATCTGACATGGCCGGTATCAAAAGCACTATAATTTTTTCAGTCTCTACTCAGGAAGGCCTGAGCCCTGTCATTTACCTCCTGGGCTTCTGATTTGGGAGTCTCTGATGCTCCTTCCTCTTTATTCTCCTCAAGTGTCTTCCCAGAAAATTTCTTCAACCACTCATCATCTGACCACACTGAGTGAAAAGAAAAGAAACACCGTCAATGGTACGAGGGCCAGAACGATGACTGACCACTAAGTGGGGACACCCAGCTCACCACTGCTTAGTCATCAAGTATAGAAGGACAATTTGTCCCTCACGGCTGGAGAGAAGAGAGGCTAATAATGGAAAACTTCATCCCTTTTTTATTTGTACAGAAAACAGTTCTTCGCACTGGTGGGTAGGAACGGGACGGAGGGACAAAGCCAGCCACTCGGAGATGGGGAAGTCCCTTCTTGGGGGGCGCCTGTCCTCCGAGATGAGCGACAGTCCAAAAGCAGCCAAGCTGCCAAACTCTGAGCCTCAGTTTACTTAACTGTAGAACTGGGATGGAGATTCCTGTCCCTTCCAGCCTCATGTGGGGGCTGGTACAAGTGCACTTTAGAAACCAGAAAGTCCTACATCACTGTAAGAGGATATTATTGCCCATCTCCAATTACAGCCAAACAGCAATCACAGGTAGGAAGTAAGAAAATAACACTTTCCTCCAGAGTAGAAGCAACGTGTACATTTTTGCTATAAAGAGAAGTCAACTGTTCCTGTCTCAGCTCCTCTGTCGATGGACTAGCTCAGGTATTTTTCTCCATCGTTATCCCTTCCCCACTGGGCCAGAACAGTCAGGAGTGGGAGAAGTCCTGCACAGGAACATCAGCCTTGGGAGACGCGCCCAAGGACACGGAGGGGAGACGGACTCACCCGGTCTGGAAGAGCCTTCTTTGATTTTCATGGGCTTGGCCAAATTGACGCGAATTGTCCTTCCAAAGAGCTCAGACTCATTCTGAAAAGGACCAGAGTAAAACTCAAAAACTACTGTGACAATGACCTGTGACGTTCACGCTGCTGAAACCCCCGCACCTCGAGCATTTGCTCCCGGCCATCTCCTCCTGCTCTGGCTCCCTTTCTCCTGGGCTGGCCGGCTCTTCTCGCTCACCTCCCAATTCTGTTAAGCCAGAGGCTCAGAGAGAAGCACCCATGCCCTCTTTTTGCTCCATGTGTCCTTCCCCACCCAGCAAGCTCCCGCCCAGCCCTTCTACTAGAGCCTTGAAAACCCCCATTCCATTTCACAGAAAGGCCCTGGCTACAGTTAGAGGACCCAGGTTCAAACCTCACCTGTGATGATTACCACTTGTATAAACTTGGGCAGGGTCACTTAACGTCCCAACACCCCACTATCCCCATCTGTAAAAGAGGGGAGGGCACTGGGGGCCCTTCTGGCTTTGGGATCAACCATGCTCTCCTTACTACGTTCCTTCCACAGCCTCACAGGAAGTGAGATCGAGCTTTCACCAAAAGGCTGGGTGTGCAGTCAGAAGAGCGTTGCCCGCTCCCCCTGTGACACTGGATTCTGCATCTTCATGGGCTGTTTCCCCATCGAGCTGGGTGTCGATAAGGTCCCTTCCCTCTCAATCCTGACTCTGCATCTCTGGTAGCCTCTGTTCCCACTCCCCTATTTTATGGAGCTTGGAGACAGAACCAACGTACTCCCTGCTCCCCATAAACACTCCGAATCCCTCACTCGGTTGTTTTGACTGAACCACCTTTGATCCTTTGAAATTCACATCATCCTAAGCTAAGCTCTCCTGATCATCACCGCTGTCACCTCCCGACATCTGGCATACACTCCTGCCTTCCTCGATGAAGGAGCTCAGTTTCCTCCCCGTCCGCTTCCCTGCAGGTGTCTCCGGAGATGTGCCCACCCACGCCGCTGAGCTTTCTAACAGCCCGTCCCCAGAGTCCCTCGTGTTCGATTCTGGGTGCTACATCTACAGAAGACATCGACAGGACGGGTACAAGAGAGGTAGGCATCCTGGATAGTGCAGGGATTGAAGACCATGCCCCCAGAGGACAGAATGAAACAACTAGGACTATCTGGTCCTGAGAAGAGAACCCTTAAGTGGAGAAGGGTCACCATGGCTGTCCTCAATTATCTAAAGGGCAGTCATATGGAAGAGGAATCACTCACGTTCTGATAGACCCGCCCAGGGCAGAACTAAGGGCAAAAAGGGGAAGCTTACAGAAGGGCAGGTGTAAGCTTATGGGAAGGAAACTTCTCCTAACAATTTTTCAGGTGTGTCTGATTCTGTGACCCCCTTTGGGGTTTTCTTGGCAAAGACACTAGAGTGGTTTCCCATTTACTACTCCAGCTCATTTTACGGATGAGGAAACTGAGACCAACAGGGTTAGGTGACGTGCCCAGAGTCATACAGCCAGATCTGAACTCAGGTCTTCCTGACTCCAGGCCCGGCACTCTACCTACTGCTCCACCTAGCTGCTCCTAATAATCAGAGCTGGGCAGAAGTGGGATCGGCTGCCTCAGTAGGTGGTAGATTACTCTCTACCCCTTTCACCTAAGGTCTTTCAGGGAAAGCTGGACAACCGTTTATTTGTCCAGGATTCCTCTTTGGTTCTGGGTTGGACCCAACGACCTCTGAGGGCCTTCGAGCTCTTCAGAATCTGCTCTCCTTCCTAACTCCCACAACCTCTGCCTGCCCTCTTCTTTCTCACCCACCCACTGGGAGTTTCCACCTCAGAGCTCATCCTCTGAGCTCCAGCCCAACCATCCTAAGCTCTGAAATTTCATCCAGTGACCACACTCTCCTGGTTCTTCCACCTCTCTCCCTCTGACTCCTCCCATACCTGTTCTTCACCCTCAGGGGCCAGGAAGTCTCTTGCCTTTTCCTTATTTGCCCAGGTCAGTAAACCAGGTTCTTATCTCTCATTTCCGACCCTACCTAGTCCTGATCCTGTAATTAACAACTTCAGTAAGACTCTTTCTCCACACCTGAATCCCTAGACTATCCAACCTTTTGCCATTTCTGCCCTGCAAACCTTTAACCTTGGGTAACTCCTACTCTCCGCCCTCCTCCCCTCCTACTCTCAAGTGGATGACCATTCCAGAAGAAAGTCAGGAACCCACTACAAAGGTATGTGATCCAGTCTCATCAGAGCCTTCAATGACGCAATCCTTTTATTTACTTCTAATAGATTCTCTATCACAATCTCAACAAGAATTGTTCAAACCTTCTCTCTCCTAACCCCACCTCCTCCTCCTTATTCTAATCAGATCCTCATGGAAAGATTGAAGCCATCCTTAGCTGCCTATGGTCATTCCCCTAAAAGCTATCAACGTGTTCATCCTCCACTGAGTTTCAGAGGTGGCATGGACGTCCTCCTTGCCAAGACCAGCCCTTTCACCAGGACCTTCCCTGCCTGCCTGCTCGATGCCCGTGGCCCCGTCAATCACACTTTCTTCTTCCTGGGCATTTTCAGCCCATGTCTACCCACTGAACTCTTCCACTTCAGGTTATAAACACGTTCAGCTCTCTGCCATTCTTTAAAATCAAACCAAAAAAACTCTTGCTTTATTTTTTTTTACACCCATCGACTCCTCATTACCTTTACAGCATGGCTTCTGTCTCACCATTCTGTTTAAACTGCTCTCTCCAAGGTTACTAATAAACTCATCACCAAATCAAATTCTTTCTTTCCTTTCTCCACTCCAGCACCACACTTGTACTCTCTCTCTGACCTGTGGTCTGGCTCCTTGTCTTCCTCTTCCCACCTCCTTAAACACGGGGCATCTTCTTACAGCATAAGTATGAAGCTGATTAGAATTCAGAGAACCACTGTGTCACTGGGATGGAGGGAAGGAAGGAAGAGAATTAGGGAGGAAGAAAGAGAGGGAGGGAAGGAAGGAAAAAAGGGAAGGAGAAAGAGGAAGGAAGGAAGGAGGGAAGGAAGGGAGTTAGGGAGGAAGAAAGAGAAGAAGAGAAGGAAGGAAAAAAGGGAAGGAGAAAGAGGAAGGAATGGAGGGAAGAAGAGAGAGAGGGAGGGAAGGAAGGAAAGAAGGGAAGGAGAAAGGGAGAAAGGAAGGAAGAAAGGAAGAACACTTACTAAGTGCCAGGCACTGTGCTAAATGGTTTACAAACATCACCTCAACTGATCTTCATAACAACCCTGGAAAGGATGCTTTATGACCTCCATTTTGCAGCTGGGAAACTAAGGCAGACAGGATTAAGTGATTTGCCCATTCACACAGTTAGTAAGTGTCTGAGGCTGGATTTGAATCTTGATTCGACTCCAAGCTTTGCATTCTATCTGCTGCACCATCTAGCTGCCTCTATGACTGAAGTAATACAAAGTGAAAAGATGGCACCAAAACAACAATATACAAATACAGAGTAAGCAGAGTCAACACTAGGCAGCAACAAAATTTGGGACAAGGCCAGATACAAAGGACAACGTTGGTGTCAAACTAGCAAAGTCAGAGCACCCGTTTTTATATCACTTTACAACTGGTAAAACATACTATCGGTGGGATAATGCCATTAGGAGGTTTCAGGGAATGTACCGTGTAGGGGTTTGTTGGCAAGTGGTTTGTTGAACCAGATCAAATGTATTGAAATTTTTTTTTTAAAGTAGGTGTTTCCCCCAGGCCTGTCTGTGGCCATCCTGTCCCTTCTCTGTACCCTTTCTTCAATGCACCCACTCCTATCTTTGTTCCTGCTACCTTCTGGGGGATTCCCAAATCGACCTCTCTCCCTGCCGAGCTTTATCAGAGCTCGGCTGTCTCTTGGCTATCTCCACCTCACAGAGCAAAAATGATAACAGGTCAAACGGGCAAGGGATTCAGAGATGGGGGAAGACAGGATTGCTGAAGTGCTGGTTTGAACCTGCCACTTCAAACTCAAAAGGTTTAAAGCTGAACTCATTATCTCTCCTCCCAAAAAACTACCCTTCCTCCTAACTTCTCTTCCCATCAACAGCATCATCATTATCTTTGAAAACTGAAGTCACATTTAATTCGTCCTCCCACCTCATCACTGTATGAACCCAATCAGGGGTCAGACCTTGTGAATGGCTCAAATCCCCACGGCCCCTCATCTCTTCTTGCCCACATTGTTTGAACAGCTGGCTCTCCTGTGTTCTCTTTCCAATCCACCCTTCCTAGCACCACCCAGACAAATCTTCCTAATGCAGAGCACATCACTGCTTCTTTACTTCGAACCCTTCCCATGCCTATGGAGTACACTGTCACCCCTCACAACGTGGCTCCAACCTGCCTTCCCAGCCTTATCCCCTAGCACTCCTTCAGGTTCTCCATATGCTGCCAGACTGACTCTTCCTCCTCCATGTTCAGGCTGCTACCCCATCTCCATGGTAACAATGACATAGTATGTTAAAACCTTTTAAGTCCCTCCCTTCCTTCAAGAACCAATTAACCTACTATACCTCGAGGTCCTACTCCCCCTTCCCTACCCACCCCACCCAAACCTTCCAGGCCCACTCCTGCCCCCTGCAACCAAAAGTAACCTCTCCCTCCTCACAGTCCCTGAAACACTTGGCCGGCACATTCCCTTACACCTACCAAAGTATCCTTTGTATCTGCTCTTTCTGTGGTAGATATCATTTACCTCTATTGGACGTTAAGCTCCTCCAAAGCAGGGTCTACAGTCACATCTACCTTTGTACAACAGGGATTGGCAGTATCTTACAGAATAGGGATGTAAGTCAGGGACATTCCCTTACCCACCATTTTCTAATTTGTAACAAATCTAACCTGTAACAAATATTTGTTTCTATATATTGTCTCTCTTCCACTTCATTTTCTGATCTGTAAAATGGAAGTGTCATTGCTTTTTCTGTCTTCCTAACAAAAGATGATGCATATAATGCTTATCATAATTAAAATCTATGATAATGGTACATGATAAACACACACTATTATCATACTATAAGGACTTGAAATTTCATCTGTTTTCAGTACTCTCTCTGCTACAGATCACAACCCCCTCTCTAATTTAGCAGAAAGTCAGCAAGAATGGCCTGAATGACACCACCACCCTTCTGCAGCCATTGTGGTGCTGAGCTCTCCCACCTCAGCCAACAAACAAAAAGTCTACCCTGAGAGCCTGGCTTGGGAGAACCTGCCAGAGCTGGTGTTTCAAGGACCCAGAATGACCCCCAGTCTATCAACTACCACAACTGAACTTTTAATACTCATTGGTGGTTTTCTGGTTCTAGTCCAGTGATTTCCTTGTTGGAAGAACTCCCAGTGTGGGACTCCCCTCACCCAATGTGTACTGGTAAGGTGTCTCTAACTTATTCTTTTGAAGAGTTTTGGGGCACTGAGAAGTTGGTGGCAACAGCCACACAGCTAGTCAGTATCAGAAGCAGGACAGGAAACTGGGGGCTTCTTGACGCCAAAGCTACTCTCTCGCTCCTATAGCAGAGGGATTACGGGGAACCACTCACAAACTCTTCTAAGGTGTCCTTGTGATTTCTTCCATTAATCTCTCTCTCTCTCTCTCTCTGTCTCACACACACACAGACACACACACAGACACACAGACACACACACAGCATCTTGACCATCACAAAACAAACTCTCTTTGGGCTCACTGTAAAATGAAGATGGAGAGGGGAGCCAGCAGGTGCCATGATGTGTTCAGGGCTGATCTAAAATAAGGCGTGAGGATGTGTGAAATCTTTTCCGTGGGTTCACTGTGCTCAGAAGTTATGGGAGTAAACGTCAGACTAAGCAGGGACAAAGTAACAGCTTTTGAGATACGGCGATTTTTCCACCTTAAATCAAGGCCGCTGTTCACCAAAAAATCAAGAACAGCTCTGAAATAGAGACAAACTGGCTATTTTAAGTAGAGGTTTGTTTAGTAGAGGAGCGGCAATATATAGAAACAAATATTAAGTCATTAAAATGTATAAAACTAAACAGGAATGTTAGTGAGAAACAAAGAACATAATGCATACCATGTTATCAATAGCTGCTGCAGCGTCCTACAGAGAGAAAATAAAAAAAAGTTAATTACCATACTGTAAAAACTACAGTGCAGTGCAACTGGGCATTTGAGTAGAAATTATGATTTTTAAAAAGATAGCATTAACCATTCTCTCGTGTAATCATCTAAGCAAGGCCCTCTCTAAGGTGGGCCAGGGCTCTGTCCTGGACCCTCTCCTTTCTCTAGGTGATGTCAGTAAGCCCATTGGTTCAATTATTACCTCTAAACAGATGACTCCCAAGTCTACACTATCTACTCCTAATTTCTCTCTTGAACTACTATCCCTCTTACTTACTGCCTGCTAGACTTCACCACCAGGATGCCTGGTAAATGCCCCAAAATCAGCACATGCAAAACAGAACTCAATACATCACCCTCCCCAAATCCACGCCTCCTCTAAACGTCCCCATTTCCACCGATGGCTCCGCCATCTTTCCAGCTTGGGGAGTTTGCATCCCTGAAGGCTTCCTCAATCCCCATGCCCAACCAGCTGCCAATACCCCATCTCTAATATGTCTTCACGGCCTTTCTGGCTCACACTTCCCTTCGAAGTCTTAACTATTACCCCCCCTTCATTCTCTGCTGCAGTCCCATGGACCTGATGGCTGCTCTCTACACACACTATCCCATCTTGTGTCTTTGGACATGGAGTCTCCCATGTCTGGAATATATTCCCTCCCCTCTGACAATCTCCCAGAAGGCCCCTTCAAAGCACAGGTCAGAACCACCCCCTCCATCAGGCCTTTCCTGGGCCAGCTCCCTCCATGCCACTGCCCATTATTAGCATCCTCTCCCTGCTAAATTGCTGTGAATTGCTTTGTATATTCTTTATGGCATACTCTTTATACAAAACAGATGTATATTCTTTGTTTACCTGCATGCCTATTATATAGTCTCTCATAAAATATAAGCTCTTTGAGGGCACACAATTTTTTGTTTTTGTCTCAGTATCCCCAGCACTTGGGGCAGTGTCCTGCATATAGCAGGTGCTTAATCAAGGCTTCCTGAAATGAAAATAAGTTCACCCTGAAAGCTTGCACACATTTCACTTGGATCTCCACTGAAAAACCCTCATGTGTCTGAGCATATTCCAAGAAGCGGCCCCAAGGGAGAATGGCTCATTCTGCAGTCAAAAGACAAACCAAGGGAAATTAAAGCTTTCAAAGCTTTAATGTGTGCTTCTCAAGTAGATAGATGCCCATCAACTGAGGAGCAGCTACACAAAGTGTAAGACAACAATGAGATTTGATACAATCACGGCAAAATCCAACAAACTTCATAAAGCAAAGCAACCAGAACTGGGAAAACAATATATACCATGACCACAATGGAGATGGAAAAAACGCCCACTCAAAAAACCCCCAAACCATACTGGGTAATTCTAACATCCAAGCTCATCCCCAAAGAAGGCAGGAGCAAAACCACCTTCCTCCTTCTTTGCGGAGGTGGGGGACTGTGGGCATGGAATACTGCATATACTACCAGATTCAGAAAATGAATTGGTCGCTTTTGCTGAACTGGTTGTTTTTTTTTCTTCCTAACAAGGACAGCTCTGTGGTTATGGGCAGGGGATAAGGAAGGACGTGTATGGGACTGAAGATGATGTAAAACCAAAAAACATCGAAAAAACCTTTTACTCCTGTTTCTCACCTCTGCCAACTCGAATTCAACAAATGCAAATCCTCGATGTTTTTCTAAGAGAGAATACAGAAAGGAATAGTTAGATAATATAACTTAATGATAAGACACGCTGCTACCAATGGAGTTCAAGAAAAAAATGAGAAATTGCTAAAAATCTTTATCAGGAAGTATTTCTTTTCAATGCTGCTATCTAGCCCATTTAAGAATTGACAGTGTCCATGAACTTTTCTTGATTTAGCCAGGACACACCAAGAATGACCAACATCTTGGAAATGCAGCCGCTATCTTACTTTAATACATCAACAGCTCTGTGTCTTGATCAAGACATACTGGGTAGATCACAACCCTTAGTGCTCGACTGTCTGAGCTGCTCAGATCCTATGGATGAGCTCTGGCCAACGAAGAGCCACCAAGGCCATTCTCAGCCTTCCCAGACCGGCAGGGCCGGCCAGAGCTCGTGACCCCATGCACACTATGGTGAAACCTTGAGAGGCAACGCCGCAGAAAAGCAGCTCCAGCTAACTGAAAACACGTGTTAATACGTCTGATGACATCGGAATTTTAAACGTAACTGGCTATGAATGAGTCCTGCTAACCTCTGCTTACAAAATTGTCTGGGCAACAGATCATAATTCAATCAACTACTGATTATTCATTCAATAAATAAATTTCCGTGCCTCCAGTGCACATACTACTGTGCCACACAGCGCAGTGGGAAGCAAGCTAGGGCACGCTCCCTGATGTGGAAATGGGCCTAATTTGATTGGAAAGGCCAGACCCATGTGGCAATTAGAGAACAAAGCAACATACACACTTGCATGACAAACAGCAGAGTGGTTCAATAGCGTGCGAAGGTCTCGGCTCGGCTCTCAGCTCTGACGCCGGTTGTGCGAGCTTGGGGAAATCATTTATCTAACTCTCTGAGCTGTCAGTTCTTTATGGAGAAAAAAGGAATAATAACTTTGGCACTCCCTACTCTCAAGAAGTTGTTGTGAGGGAAGGGCTCTGTAAACACTCAAGTGCCACAGAATTACGAGAAATCTCATATAAAAATATGACACTGCCATCATGACATGGTAACAGCCCACACCTTTGGAGGGGAAGGGAAGATCATGGAAATCCACTTGGCTGGGCTGGAGGCCACCCAGCAGTCCTGGCGATGGGGTCCCTGCCCCCTAGTGGCCGCCCGCTCTACTGCGCCACACTGCTGGGGAGGCCGGATTACCCAAACATACTGACTGGAGACCCACTGGCCAAATAGCGTCAATGGCTCACCAGGCTTCAGATTTCAAGGGAATAATGGATGAAGACTTTAAATTATTTTCTCCTACTGTAAAGTTTTTAATTTAAATAGTCAAACGTGACAAAAATGGCTCAAAGGCTAAGACAGACTCCTCCCCACTCCAACACACATCTGAATTTGATTCAATTCCCATGCTAGCTGATTGGCATACAAAGTAAAAAACTAAATACCCCCTGGCCTCCAAGAGGAGAGCCTGCACAAAGGCACGGGGTTAGGAGAGAAGATGACATGGGTGGAGAGTAGTGGGCCGTGGGCCGTGGGCCTGACTAGAAGAGCTCCCATTAACAGAGGGCTTAAGACCAGCAAAGCACTTTACATACCTCATTCTGTATGAACTTCACAAGGACCCTGTGAGGCTGGTGCAACTGTTAGCTTCATTTTACAGATGAGGAAACTGAGCCTTCCTGAGGTGAAATGACTTGGCCAGAACGACAGAGTTCTTAAGTATCTGAGGTGGGATCTGAACCCTGTTCGTCCCGACTCCCAGTTCAGTGCCCTCCCTACCATGCCGCTGGTCTGATAGCACCCCAAAACCCTGACCCTTCAGTTAAGGCACGGCTGTTCTTTTGTATTGCCCTTCTCCCCGAGCATCCCGACAAATCACAGAGGATAACTGAGCTTTTCTGTGGCACTTCTGAACTCTTCTCCCTCAAATAAAGGAAAAGACATAATACACGTGTTCACCTGTTTCATAATCCAGCGGTATCTGAATGTCTGTGATGTCTCCAAAGGGAATAAAAGCAGCATGAAGGACCTTCTCATCCACCTCCTCTGCAAGGCCGCCTGGAAATGAACCAAAGGTTTCCTCTGCAATTTCCCTTCACACATGCATCGGGAAGAGTCCAACCCAAGGCCTAAGCCGGGCCATGCTGGGCAAGCCCCTTGGCCTCCGTGTCCTCATCCATAAAAGGACGGGCTTGGACCAAAACAACCTCCAAGGTCCCTTGGAGCTTAAAGCTCTAACTCCATGCTGCCGTGTGCCAGCAGCGTGCTTGACGCAGCGGACGGGCTATGCCCTGGTAAGGACCTTGCCTCCACGACAGGGAAACGGCATGTATGCAATAACAGCAGCTAACCTTTACTTATCACTTTCTCTGTGTCAAGCACTGCGGTAAGTGCTTTACAGTAATTATTTCATTTGATCCTCACAACCACCTTGGAAGGTAGGGGCTATTATATTCCCCATTTTTCATTTGAGGAAACTGAGGCAAACAGGGTCAAGCGACTTGCTCAGGATCACCTAGTTAGCTCTCTCATCTCCATGCCTTTGCACATGCCTGGAATTTACCAACCCTTCTCTCCTGCTTATTAAAGTCCCTGATTCCCTTCACAATGCAGCTCACGCACCACCTTCTGCACTCAGCCTTTGCTGCCCATCCAAACTATCTTGGGCTCATTTTATGTTTTGCATATACTTATATATGTACGTGTTGTCTCCTAGGGTAGACTGTAAGCTGCTGGGAGAGCAGGGGTTCTTTGCCTTTTGTGTTTTGTAACCCTCAGGGCACAGCCCAATGGGAAGGGGCTTTATAAAATGCCTGTCCTGGGGCAGCTAGGTGGCACAGTGGATAGAGCCCCAGGCCCTGAAGTCAGGAGGACCTGAGTTCAAATCTGGGCTCAGATCAAAACACTTGACACTTACTAGCTGTGTGACCCTGGGCAAGTCACTTAACCCCAACTGCCTAAAAAAATAATATACAATAAAACAAAATAAAATGCCTGCCCATTGAAGGGTTTTAAGCAGAAAAACGACAGATGGGTTCCTGAGAAAGTTTAGTCTGAGCCAGGGAAGGGGAGAGAAGAGAAGCTGGAAAGAAAGCAGGCTTTTGCAATGTTGCCCTCAACATGGGAGGTCCTTGGTGAACAAGCATTCAGTCACTCAGCAGCCCTTTATTAAAGTCCCCTATGTGCCCCTGTCAGCTCGGCAGCAGAGTGGATAGAGGGCCAAGCCTGGCATTAGTAAGACCTAAGTTCAAATCTGGCCTCAGACACTGACTAGCTGGGTGACCCTGGGCAAGTCACTTCACCCTCTTTGCCTCAGTTTCCTCATCTGTAAAATGAGTTGGAGAAGGAAATGACAAACCGCTCCAGTACTTTTGCCAAGAAAACCCCAATGGGGTCACGAAGTGTTGGACACGATTGAAAAACCCCTGAACAACATGCGCCCTTAGACTCTTTTAGAGCTGGAACAAACTGTCTTGAACGCATGCGGGGTAGAACTTCAGGACGCCCTTAGCACCCAACCTCACAGCGCGCGCCCCGCCCCTCAGCGTAAACAGCGCGGACCCCGCCCCGAGTGGTCAGCAAGGCTCGCGCGCTCCCTCTTCCCCCAGGTCTCGCGATAACTAGCCCTGCAAGCTCCCTCCCTTGTCCTACCAGGCCTGAAGCACAAAGGCCTCCGACCAGAATCCCCTCACCGGCTCAACATCCACGGACCGAGTAGAAAACCACTCCTGCTGGAAACCTGGACTTCGACCCCAACCCAGAAACGTGAAATTCTACTCACCCACATATAAGACCCGCTTAGTGGCAGCCATCTTGTATCGGGCTGCGCATCCGGAAGTCGACGTCTCCCTCCGCCCCCATTTCCGCCCAGGCCCAGAAGGCCGAGAGCGTTGGGTTCCTCTGCAGCCATAGGCTGGCCACGCTAAGAGGAGGATTTGTGCGCAGGCGCAGCCTGGAGCGAGAATGGCGTCACAAATCGCCGTTTTCGTGAGGGAGAAGGGAGTGAAGAAGGGGGAATGGACAGCATTCAGATGTTTACAGTGGCCCTGAGGTAATCACTTGAAGGAGTCGTCATAAAAATTTTTTAGTGCCTGCCCTCAAGGAGCTTACATTCCAATAAAGGGAGACGAAACATATAGAGGAGTAATGGCCCGGTAGTCAGGGTATTCGTTAACTGGAGTGAGTAGTCATTCACATCAAATGGAAGGTCTCCAGTGGAGTGCCCTAGGGCATTAGGCTGTAGAACCTATTATCCAGGACTTGAATAAGGGAATGGACAGTATGGTGCTCAAATTTGTGGTGATGCCAACCCGGAAGTGAAGACATTATGGATAACAAAAGTCAGCATCCAAAAGGGCCTTGGAGGTCTAGAACTCTGGGATGACTCTACTAAGATGAAAATGGGTGGTTGGGGGAGGGAATGACCACTATCTTTAAGAGTTTGTAATGAAGGATAGAGGCAGCTAAGTAGTGTAAGTGGATATACTGCCAGGCATGGAGTCAGGAAGCCTCCTCTTCATGAGTTCAAATCCTGACACTTAACTGAGTGATCCTGGGCAAGTGGCTTCACCCTGCTTGCCTCAGTTTCCTCATTTGAACGGGAGAAGGAAATGGCAAACCACTCCACTATCTTTGCCAAGAAAACCCTAAAGGGAGTCACCAAAAAAAAGGCTAGAACTGATGCAAGTGAAGAATGTTTAAGACAAGGAAAGTTTTTGTTTTTTACTTTTAGTTCTTGGTGTATTGGAGGAAAGAGGATAGCTAAAAGAAGGGACAGGACCATTACTCAATGTAGATGGATCAGTAACTGACAACAGAAAACATAGATGCTAAATTTTTATTTTGCTGATTTTCTCTGCCAAAGAGAACTAGAAAGGGGGAGAAAAACAGTTAATAGGGACTTGACACCCAACTGTACCTGGCCCATATTTTGGCACTTAAATGCCTATCTACTGCCTGAATGAAAAGCTAACAAAAGGACTCAGATAACCATAATGAGTTCAGGTCACCTCACCCAGATGAGGAGCATCACTGGGCACTACCAGAACTGGCTTAGGTGACCTCAGAGGCTAGTTCTTTGTTTTGGACGTTGGAAAAGGTACATAGGATTAGAGATGGGCAAATGTCCCAATATTCAAAAAAGGGAAGAGAATGGACTTGACAAAGCATAGGCCAATGAGTTTTACTTTAATTCTAGTCAAAGATCTAGAGCAAATATTAGAGATGGTTAGTGAACATCTAGAGAAGAGAGGATCACAAAGAGTAGCGTGGCTTTATCAAGAACTGGTTTGCTTTATGATCTTTTTTGACAGTTACTAAAATGGTAAGTGAGAATGCTATATAGTTTACTCAGATTTTAGCAAAGCTTCTGATAGTTACCTCATACTATTCTTGCAGAAATGACGGGGGCTAGATAATACCAATTTGTTGGATTTGGAACTGGTTGACTGGGTGGACTCAGCAGCTGGATGTCAACTCAGAAGGCACTCTGTGGTAGAGGGCCCCAGGAATCTGAGCTTGGCCCTATGCTATTTAACATTTTTATCCATGATCTTGATAAAAATGTATTGAGAAGATACCTTACCCTTCTCCTTGGCAGAGAAGGGGGCTGGAGGGATGGGAAGGATCAGCTGTTGTTGAATATTGTCAGATTTTTTTTCCTTATTGTGGTTTTGATTTTTTTTTAAGAACATATAAACACAGACACACATAAGTCCTTATTTATTGTATCTAGTTCAAATCCATCCTGAAACAGAAATCATTAGGAATTAATAACTACATTCTGGAATTTCACACATACAGCAAATACATGATAGCTCACTCAAAAATCGCAGGAAAAAAATCCATCTGCTATAAGTGATGACACTTTGAAAGGAAGAGGGAGGGGCAGCTAGGTGGCGCAGTGGATAGAGCTCTGACTTTGGAGTCAGGAGGACCCAAGTTCAAATATGGCCTCAGATACTCGGCACTTACTAGCTGTGTGACTCTAGGCAAGTCACTTAACCCAGACTGCCTAAGCAAAAAAAAAAAGGGGGGGGGGGAAGAAATAATAGGAGGAAATTTAGGTGACATAAGAAAAAGATATCAGTAAAAATTTATCTTTAAAAAGAAAGTTATGCTAACCTGATTTGCAACTCATACAAAACTGGAAGGGCTAACACTGATTGAGGGTCAGGATCCAAAAAGATCTTCATAAGCTAAAACATTGGCCTAAATCCATTAAGATGAAATTTAAAACAGATGAAAGTTAAGTCTTACGTCATTTGGGTTAAAAGAATCGATGTCCGATGCAAAGATCTAAGACAACTCCAAAAGACTCCTGATGGAAAATGCTATCCAAATCCAGAGAAAGAACTGCGTAAGACTGAATGCAGATGGAAGCATACTATTTGCTCTCTCTTTTGTTTTGTTTCTTCTTTCTCGAGGTTCCTCCAGTTGCTTCTAATTCTTCTTTACAACATGACTAATGTGAAAATATGTTTAATATAAAAGTGTATGTAGAGCCTATATATGTAGAGGAGAAAATTTAAAACTCAAAATCTTATGGAAGTGAATGTTGAAAACTAAAAATAATTAAAAAAAAAGAATCAGTGTCACAAATACAACAAGACAGGCTTGGTTAGACAAGCATTGTGAGATGTCCATTTGTCAAAATGTTGGTTATGGGGACTTGAGAGATGGACAGGGAGAATTCTTCCAATTCTAAAATTCTGATTGGTTTATCTGAAAAAGAACTGTGAGTTTTTATGAGCTAAAGGTCAGTGAGTCCACAGTATGAAATGACAACTAAAAGAAAACCCACTTCAGTGCTGGACTGAATGGACAGGCAAAGCTTCAAGGAATAGCCCCTCCCTCTGTCTGCCACCCTTGTTGGACCACTTCCGAAATAGTCTAGGTGCCATGATTTGGGAAGGACACTGATGAACTGCAATGCATAGAGAGTAAAGCAACTAGAATGGTGAAAGGTCTATGCTAAGATCAGTAAACTTTGTAGTAGGGAATTATTTTTTCAATTACTTTAAAACCCTGCAGTTTTAAGGCTTCACTGAATAATCTTGCTCAAAGGGAGGCACTAGACCAAAGGGTGTCATTTCACAATTACAAAAGTTAGAAGGGAGCTGAGGGGTCTTATACTCCAACTACAAGAATCCCCTCTTTGAACATCCCAGTCAAATGATCACCCTGCCATAGCTCAAGAACTCTGGTAAGGGCGGAGCCATTAACTCCAAAGACCATTCATACATTCCAAAAACTTGCCAGGAAACCGTTTGAACTGCTCAACCCATGTCTCAGTTCCCCAACCTAATGAACATCTTCAAATTCAAAAACTATTTAAAAATGGACTCAAAGATTTTATGTTTACAAGTGTACAGGGGCTGGCAAAATATCTGTGTAAGGATGGGCTACAGTAGAGTAGTGGCTGGCCCAAGTGGTGTTCGTGAGCTACCACTCAATCATTATGAGGTGGGTGGTGCTCATAATTCTCAGTGAGAACTCCTGAATCCATTTTGCCCCATTTCTGGGGATGCACTCAGTTTTGGACTTTGGCCAAGGCCGGTGATTGCTGGCTATAGATTTCTAGGCAGCTGTAAGACTGTTTTTTTTCGTGCTCCCAGAGGTTGTGGCCCCATTCATTTGGTTTCTTCAAACATGGTTTGTTGACAGTTCAACCTGTCCTTGTAGACTATCCTTATTAAACAAAGAATGATTCAGTCACTTGAGGTAAACACCTGAGTGGGAATTCCTCCATGGGACAAACTGAATAATTGAATGTTCCAGGTACATTACTAATAGTGTATTTGGCAAATGTTACGCACATTGATTCAAAAGCTAATACACCCCAGAATTCCAGGATTCTTTGCTTCTTAAGATCTTCTGGTATCCATTCCCCAATTGATAAAAAGATCGAGGGATGTGAATAGGAAATTTTCAGAGGAAGAATTCTAAGCTATTAATGACCACATGAATAGATGCTTTAAATTGTTATTAGAGAAATGCAAGTTAAAACAATTATGAGGTTACTACCTCAGACCCATCAGATTGGCAAAGATGACAAAAATGGAAAATCACAGCTGGAAGGGCTGTGGGAAAACAGGTACACAGCATGCAGTTAGTGGAGCTGTGAACTAGTTCAAACATTCTAGAAAGCAATTCGGAACTACTCCAAAAAAACTGCATACCCTCTGACCCAGCATCAGATCTGTATCCCAAAGTTTGAAGAAAAAGTGGTGGCAAGTAATTAGAAACTGAGGGGGATGCCCTTCAATTGTGGATAATGTGATGGAATACTATTGACTTTGGCAATACTGACCAATACACTACCCGCCTACAACTCCAAAACAATTCATGATGAAACACGCTACCTACCTGCAGATACAGAGCTGACACACTTGTGAGAGCAAATGGAAGCATATTTTATTTTCTTTTTTTCTGGACATGACTAATGAGGGAATGTTTTGCATCACTATATGTAATCGCAATGGCTTTTTGAGAGGTGTGAGAAATTTGGAACTGAAAATAAAACTGAATTTAAAAAATCTTCAGTTACCATCTTATTTTGCCTATACAAGACTTAATGGTCCCAATACTTAAAATGATCAATCTCCAAAAACTTATTAAAGCCCCTACTAGGAGGCAGCTGGATGGTACAGTGAACAGAATATATAATTGCAAGTCATCTGACATGCTAAGGCACTGATACAGTTCATAAAAGTAGTCAGCTCATCAGCAGAAATTGTGACCCAATCACACCACCTCATCCTGTTTAATTCTTGTCCACAACCTCCTACAGATCCCTCAGAGCTCACCTAACACCTCTCACTTCGCCTTTAGGGCTACGGGAAACCCTGATTCTTTGTGGAGATCTGTG